GGCTTTTGAAAAATATTTATCTAATTGCGTTTTTATTATTATTATTATTAACAAACTTAATTAGTCTGGTCTCAGTGTCTTCAAAATCCATTTAGTTTTTCTTTTATTTTCGTTTGACTTCACACCTGTTCTCTACTAACAGGAAGTTGTTTAGTGCAATTCAGTTCTGGTTTAGTTTAGTTGTGAAATTTAAACAGTCTGCTTTATGTTAATTTGTTCATTTCCTCATTTTTCATTTTCACCTCATCATATTTTTTTATTTTGATAAAAAAGGATGCAGTGAGGCTTTTATGATGCAAAATGATTTGGTTTATCTGTTTATTATTCATAGATCTAGAATATGGTTGATAAACAGGAAAATAAAGGTTTAGATCAGAGCATGCAGCTACTGACAGGAAAATGTATTAAGAGGATTAATAGTGATTTATTTAGACATATTGGATAAATCAGTTTATAGAAGCAAATCGCTGTCTTATAGTACACATACACACACACACACAGTGTTGTCTGCGGGATGAATAGGATAAGAACGTTACGTCTCAGCCGTCTAAAGCCATAAAATTGGATGAATCTTTACAGCTGTGTCATCCCATCAAATAATGGTCCTCCAAGCCCTTTTTTATCCTCGGTGCTCGACTGGAGCTATTTCAATTTAGGCAATTCAGTCACTTTGCTCTCATCTCTGAGCCGATTCGGTAGTGAAAAGTGAGTGACCACATCCCTCACATAACTACATCAGATATTTTCCCCTTTGCATGTTGCTCTGTTGAGGTCAACATGTGCGCGTGATGTCACAGTGAAACGTTCAGATGATTAAATGGATTTTTCTTTGGTAAGAATCACAACAAAAGGAAAATGTGTCCCAGAGATGTGAAAGATGAAAGCACAAGGAAATGATGTTCTTGAATTTCACACTTGCACAAATTTTATGTAAACCCGACTTCATAATCATGGTAAACAGTTTGCTGTGAGATTTCTCGTTTTTGCATTGAACAAACTTTTTTTTAATGTTTAAAAAAATGTTAATTAGTAACAAAACACCTCATGTACTTTTCCCCTCCCCTTTTATATAAACATGTCTAATGCTTAGGGTTGGGGGTTAAGGTTTGGAAATATTCTCTTTTAGCTTCTAACCTAAATTAACTTTACAAACTCCAAATGTAACATTTTTATTGTGAATGTATGCATGGTTAAATGACTGGTTGTGTTGTAAAGTGCCTTGGGGGGTTGCAGAGCCATTGAAGGTGCTGTATCTAATACAGACCATTTATCTTTTATTAGTTGCAAGTAGAAATTACAGTGTTATCAAAATAACAAGAGAGTTTGTTAAGACTGTTTCCCATAAAATCTATTGTTTTTGCCAAAACAAGTCCAGTTTCCACGAAAAGTTATTGAGTTTATTTAAAAAAAAATACTTTAAAGGAGGATTTGATTTCAGACTGTATTTTAAAAGATCTTAGTGGCACTGTTATGGTAACCCAGACAAGTTTCAAAGTGATGTCTTAACGTCTAAATATTCGCTAGTCATGTCTACGTGATAGTCATAAATGTGGGAACAAAAATCTTTATTTCAGTATCCTAATTTGGACGACAGTCCAGCTCTGTCCTGTTTGACCAGAAGAAGTAAAGTCCTTAAAGGTCAACTTCAATGAAAAACAATATCTTTATTATTATTTCTGATTATAATTGGTCGCTGAGTGTTCATGCAGGCTGAACATGAAAATAGTCTCCTAGGCCTATCGCTTGACAGATCTGTCACACTGTGAATGAGCATTCGTGGATTCACCCATATTTACTTGTGATGAGAAAGGATGTTGTTGGTTTAGCGTACAGGAAACAGCAGAGAACACATCGGCTAGTAGAAGCTAACCGTTAGCGTTAGCAACTCCACCAGACAGTAGAACTCCTTCAGGCTTGTGTTGATTGTGGAGATGAAACATCAATATTGCAAAGCAAACCGAGTCAGTGGTAGAGTTGCGTTGCATTGCTGTCAACCAATCCAAACGGAGATTTCCAAATAACAGGAAATAAGACTGCTGTCTTCAGCTCAACTCTGATCTGGCTCATTTCTAGTTCACTTCTAGGTATTCATTCCAATGAGAGACCACCGCAAATGTATTAAATTTATGAGTAAAGTTGATCTTTAGCCCGTCAAATTGTCAGGTTTACCACTTTAACCCCATCTAGGTAATTTCTGACCTTCATGTAATCCATTTTTTATAGATTTTATAGATTTTTCAAGCTAGTAGAAATTACTTAAGACTTTTCTTTTTTTTTTCAAAAAGCAAAATGTTTGTAGTAGATAGCTAGTTTGTAAAAACAATATAATTACAACATACAAACGTTATAATTATATAAATTGCTAAAATGCTATATGGTAAGAATGGGCTGCATGGTGGCGCAGTTGTTAGCACTGTTGCCTCGCAGCACGAAGGTTGCAGGTTCGAACCTCGGTTGCGGCCTTTCTGCGTGGAGTTGCGTGTTCTGCTCATGCATGCGTGGGTTTCCTCCGGGTACTCCGGTTTCCCCCACAGATCACAACATGCCCTATAGGTTATAAATTGTAAGTCGCTTTGGATAAAAGCGTCTGCCATATAAATAAACATACACAGAATAAACATAAGAATGTGAAAATTATATTGTTAAAACAATGAAATTATCACGTCATAAGATGTTATTGCCCTAATTTTATTTTGTGGTGGTTGTAGCTCTCTGTTGCTGTAGAATCTAGACCAGGGGTGTCAAACTCATTTTCGCTTAGGGGCCACATTGAGGGAAATCTAGTCCCAAGTGGGCCGGACCGGTAAACTAAAAAAAAAAACTTCAGATTGTTTTCTTTGTTTTAATACAATCAATATAAAACAAGGCTGGAGCCTGAGGACAGTGTAGTACAAGTACAACACCTGAAGTGTACTTGAAAATTTGAAAAAAATAAAAAAATCAACAAATAAAAAAACATTCCTTAGTGATTCAAAGAGCTTACAGATCACATGGCAAGATCAGTTTCATGCAGCACTTAAAGTATATTTGACTCATTTTACTTTACATCTTTTAGCTTTCACCAGCACATCAACATCAGAAGTCACATCCTGAGTGGCGGCCAACTTCAGGATGTGATTCAAGTTCTTGTGTGAGCCTTGAGCGCAGCTTTGTTTTATTTATACTCATTACAGAGAAAACTTGCTCACAAAGATACGTTTGTTTTCACTCTATATTGTAAAGTATGAAAATAAAGTTTACACAACCATCTCGCGGGCCGGATCCGGCCCGCAAGCGGGCTAAATCCGGCCCGCGGGCCGTATATTTGACACCCCTGATCTAGACCATAAATGTTTTCTTCTTTTTTTTTTCGTTTTTCACACTCAAAATTTTGTTAAATAGCGATCTGAAACTTAATGTCAGCTTTATTCTTTTTTAGTGGAAATTTGAGTTCAGATTTTATAATACTTATAAAAACATACATAAGAAAAATGATGCTTCACAAATCAGCAGAGCGTTGGCTAAATTTAAGGGAAATTCATTCGTAAACTTCCTTTTTGGACAAATCACATTATGAACAATCTGCCATGACGTCTTGATTCCAATCTGTTGCTCTAATTCCAGACATCTCTGTTTCCACCACAGGAAGTAAGCCAGTCTTGGCTCCAGTAAAGCCTGGCTCTAATGAGACAAGTCGATTATGCGCTATGAAGCGGAGGGGGAGGATTTCATTTTTGGAACCTTTAAATGTCCATACAGCATGGACTATTAACAAAGGCCCAGCATTCGGAGAGATTAATGGGATGATAATTTGCCATTAACAGCTTGAACCCGTGCAGGAGCTGGCCTGGAGAAGCACCAAATAGCCACAGACCCTCGCTGGGCAACGCACAACAAACTGTTGAAGAGTGAAAAAACGGCAGCCAAGCGTCGCTTGATCATGCGGCGTGCTGCTCAATTTATTCTGTCACAAACACAAACACTTTGCATGTTGTCATTCAGAACAGCTTTCAATTTCTGCCTACCTCCCACCTTGTGTGAATTACAAGCAGAACCACAGCTCACAATTAATACACAGCCAACTTCGGAAGTAAATGGGAAGCAAGTGACCTTGTTTGTTAGCACTCAGTTTTAATTGTTCCTGCTTTGAGATCGTTCCAGTTTTTGTTCATTTCTCTCTTTTCTTCACTCATTTAAACAGAGATATCAGCGCTGCAAGATCCATTTATAACCACATGGGCCAGTGCAACAACGAACATGTAAATACCGCTAACGAAGAATTGAAGATCTGAAATGACAAGAGGCTTCAAACTGCATGACGTCAGCACAAAAATTGCTTGAAGCTTATTTTTATTTCACCAATATATGATCTCAGGATCTGCAGGATACTTTTCGCAAACTAATTGTAACAGACTTTTTATAAAAGCCACTCTGATTCACACTGTAAATAATCATTACAGTATATATTTGACTTCGGTCCATATTTAAAGAGACAATGTGTAGTTTTTAATATTTATCTCTATCCATCACAATGCTGCTGAAATTTGATTAAATGATGATCAGGTGTTGAAAAATATTTGCGGTTTCATAACGTAAAACCATAAAAATCAGGTCTAAACTATATAGGAGCAGGTCTAAGTCTTTGGGCGATGCCATATTAGGCAAGGCAAGGCAGCTTTATTTGTATAGCCCATTTATGTTTATGTGTTTATTCATTTCGCAGACGCTTTTATCCAAAGCGACGTACAAGTTTTTGTTTTTTTTATAACCTGTAGGGCATGTTGTGATTTTTTTTTATAACCTGTAGGGCATGTTGTGATTTCAAATACATAGGCAATTCAAAGTAGACACTTTTAGATGTCATATTACCCTTTAAACTCATTTACTGATTTGTAACAAGTGGTTGCAAATCAATGATTCAAATGCAATGATTTAGGCATATACTGCCCTAGGGCTGGGCGATATGGCAAAAATAGAATATCACGATTTTTCCAATATTTTATCACAATTTTTTATCCATGAATAGCATCACTTCAATTGCGTATTAAAGAAGAGAAACATTGAATAAATAAACATTTATTCATATTAGGGATAATCAGCACAGTGCTAACACACTTATATTTTAAACTCACACCAGAGATGATAAAAGCCCTGAGAGAAACAATTACAAAAATCAGTTTTTCTCATTTTTCAAGTAACTTAACATAAATTTAAATCGTAAACATATTTAAAGTGCAAACATGTCAATTGCAAACGTATTGTGCAAACATTAACTTGTTCAAAATACTACGCAGCTCCCAGTTGCTCATGTAGTGGATAGTTAAGCTCAAATACGGCTCTGATGTGCAGCTGGACCAGAGATCGCTTGTGGTAGCAAATAACTGCGCATTCTGAATATTTTCTGCAACTCTCACTTTGCATTCAGCGTACATGCGTGGAATGGCGGTGTTCGAAAAATACTTGCGGCTGGAAAACTTGTAGCGCGGATCAAATGTTTTTATCATTTTCTTAAATCCCACTCCTACTGTTCGCACGGGACACAAATCTTTAACCAAGTGGTACGTCACTGCATCTGTCACGCTGTTCCATCGTCTGCTGTCTCTGTCGTAGGGAGTGAGTTTTGTGAGTGTTTCTGTTAGTGTTTGCTGCCTGGAAGAAGCACTAGCCGCTGCAGCCGCAGGCTTTTTAGCTTTAGCTGCCAGCTGGCTCTCATTGTATTGTTTGGGATGCCTTCTTTTCAAGTGATTAAACAAGTTTGTGGTGTTGCCATCACTTGCCTTGACGCTCTCCTTGCAAACTTTGCAAATGACGTTTCGCTGCTCTTTGTCATCTGGTGAAAAACCAAACCAGTTCCATATAATGGATAGGGATGGGTACCTTTGACATTTGAATCGATCCAGTACTAATTCCCGGTAACTACAAATCGATAACGGTACTTAACGGTACCAATTTTCGATACTTTTGAGTGTTTCATATTTTAATTCTCTTTTATAATTAAATATATATTTTTCTCAATATATAACAATATTTGATAAATATCACGATAAATAACATTCAACTGTTTGTATTTTAACATCGTCCTTGTAGTTTTATAAGCTGATAATTAAACTGAAGCAAACATCTTTACTGTGAACTAAATTTACTGTGTATCTTCATTCCTTTGGCCGTCTTTGTTCATGTGATTTTTCCTACTGGGAAGTTAGAATTTCCGAGGAGAAAGCGAACGCACCATTAGCTGATAACAATGGTGGCAATGGAAGCTAACATATCAAGCTAACGTTATCTTTAACAGTTTATTTAACTGCTGGAGCAGATTAAAACGATGATGCCTCACATTTAGATCGTTGTCGCTGGTTTCATCTTCACCCGTCACATTTAGTAAAGTGAAGCCAAACTTTAGAGCGCGTTCATGTTCATCTAGTCGGAAATTCGGAGTTCCGAGGAGAAAGCGAACGCACCATTAGCGAAACGGAAGCTAACATATCAAGGTAACATTATCTTAAACATTTATTTATCTACCGGAGCAGATTAAGATGAGGATGTCTCACTTAAATCGTTGTCTGTCGCTGGTTTCATCACCCAGTTACCCATCACATTTAGTGAAGTGGACCCAAGCGTTAGCGTGCGTTCTTCTTTCTACCATGATGCTCTGTTTACAACTCGCTCGCAGGGACCGACGACATAACGCTCTTGCGTATGCGCAGCTTTCTTGGCAAGTTTTTGTTATGAAGGACGGGTACCGAAACGAGGCACCGTTTGAAATGACGTGAATCGGTGCTCGGTCTTCGGAATGAAAACCTCGTTGTCGCTCCCAGCCGCGGCCGAAGCCATGATTGTTCACAGTTCACACACAGGTGAAAACAAGCGGGGCACTAATATATTACTATGACTCACTCTGATTGGTTAAGGGTCAAACAAAGGCGTGTCATTCGACTGGGGTAAGTTCCCTTTTCATTCAGAGGCAGAAATTCAACAGCAGAGCTGTGAATCGTGATAAAAAGGTCTCTCAAAAATGACAGACCGTCAGATGTGTAGATCGTAAAACGATCTAAAATAGTCATATCGCCCAGCCCTATACTGCCCCCATCGCCAAGGAAAATACACAATGTCACTTTAAACTTTCCGATGGAAAATCTTATTTTTTCCAGCAGAAATTATTCACTAGATTACCATCTTTTCTGACTGACAATCCAACTAAAACACAAACTAAAAAGCAACAGAACCTCAGTTTCGTTCTTATCCCTTTACATCATCCCACCTCATATTCCCAAGATCTACTCCCTCTGTGTTTTATTTTGTTTTAATAATTTATGATCTTCCATCTGTTTTATCTATAATTTCTTTGTACTGACTCCATTTTTTCCCATCAGCGTTAGATGTTTTATGGTCTTCTACCTTGTGGATAAAAGAAATACAAAAATCAATGAGCCAAAGAAGAGACAGTCAGGTGGATCTCTGAGCAGCCGGAGTGAGCCTCTCAGTTGCTTTGTGTGACAACAAAAGCCGCAATGAGCCCTCTTTACTGGTCCTTGGCCAGCTGTGATCAAATAACTGGAAGTTGGGAGCTTCCATCAATCCACTGCTAATGGTCTGTGGAATGGGCTACAGAGACTCTTATCACACCCGAGATGGAACTTGAGGATCTTTGGGCTCATGCCCAGGCAGGGGAGGGTCATTTGGTATTCATTTGCATCACAGCGTGCCCCATTCATATGATTGCTGTACAAGAGAAGAGACAATTTTTCTCTACAGTGGGCTCAGAACAGGGAAGAAGGAACTCACAGATTGACATTGAAGGATTCTCCTGCAGGGAGTGGATTCATCCAGAGTCTGTCAGTTTCATGAAACTTTTAACTTCTTCAAGCTTTACAAGAGCTGGGCTCTTAGCCCAGCACTAACATTTATTCTAATGTATTCAAGGCCTGATTTCAAACATAGATTAATCACATCAGTCCAGAAGCACAACTTACGTTTTTTTTTTTTCATAAAGCTGGAGCTTAATAGCAAGAAGTAAAATAATTTAAATAAAGCCCAGGATAAAGGTAAAACCAAACTAAACAGAAGCTTAATAATTATCTAATAACTAAAACCAAATAATTATCAGCTGCAAAACAAGCTAGCTTTTAAATGCTAACACGGTCATGGCGCACCCACCCGTCCTGGCAGCTCTCATCCCACAGCATCATCCGCCTGCTATCTGAATCCCCGTTGCATCAGGAAACGAGATAATGCTAAACACCAGTCACCATTTTCTAGGTCCAAACGTCTTTTGTTGTCGCCATTTGTTGACTTCAAATTATGTTTTCCTTTTTGATACTCTGGTAGTTTGTCCTAAATTTAAAGTGGTAGCAGTCGGCTGTTTCACCTTCTCTGATATACCGTAATTTCCGGACTATAGAGCGCACCTCAATATAAGCCGCGCCGGGCTAAAAGCCGCAGATGTCTACTGAATTGAAAACGTAGTTTAACTGAACGTAACTGAACTGATCAGTATCAAACCAAACAGAAAAGTTATCGATTAGTTTATTCATCGTCCTCCTGCGCACTGAAACCACTGAGGTCATCATCTTCAGTGTCGGAGTTGAACAGCCTCAGAAGAGCTTCGTCACATACTTTTTCTGTGGCGATGTCGGGGTAAAGCCTGGTTTATGCTTCTCCGTCAGCTCCGCAAGGGACAGACACGCACGGATTGATGGAAGCATTTTGCTCTTTTACTTCTCCGTCTCCTGGAGAGTGTTGCAAAGCAATTGCCCGGCAGGACCACAGAGGGCGTAGCGCTGTTCTGTGGTATCCTGTCATGTATCAGTCCAAGATCGTGTGTTTATATTGTTTTTTTGTGTATATAAGAGACTTTTAACACGGACATATTTGTCTCTCATTCTCCCACCTCTTCATGCGCTCCCCACCTCTAAACCCACGTTTCCTGTCATTTCCGTCCACAAATAAAACGCTTGCTGCGCATCTTTTCACTCCTCCAGTCACGAGAGAATTAAACGTTCATATTTTTAGAGTTTTGTCGCGAGGTATTCTTCAAGCTTCTCCGTCTGCCGCTAGTTATCCTCGGCTGTCTTTGCAATGGCGGCGCTGTAAACAACAGCGGCGTCCTGTCCAATCACAAGCTTGCGTAATCCGTCTCGTTCGACGGATGTTTAAAAAAGTGGGCTCGACTCCGTGCGGACTTGCGTGCCTGCCGGAGCCCTACGCAAGGACGGACAGTGGCGTTACGTGTCTCCGCACTGACGCAGACGGAGAAGCATAAATCAGGCTTTACTCTCCGTGTTGCTGTCATCATCCCGGGGTGAAGCTGGGAAAACAAGCAGTGCCGTTTTACTGTGACAAAAATCCTCCTGGGTGCTTTCTGTAGCACTCCTTTAACCATTCCTTCATTAGACTTTCAAGCATCCATCCTTTCTGGTCGACTAAAACTGCACCTCATTATAAGCCGCATGGTTCAAAGCGTGAGGAAAAAGTAACGGCTTATAGTCCGGAAAATACGGTAATAGTGCCACCGACACCAGTGGTGTTCTGATGATAAATACATGAGTGCGTAACCCTCAAATGAAAAATTACATTTCTATTTTCATATATGAAGTTATTAACTATGTGTGTTGCCAACATGACTTTTTTTACTTTTGTTTTTGATCATTATCTATGAATTCTTAGTAGGTTTTTAGGACTTTTTCAGTAAATAAGCGATAAGGGTTCAGATTTTGTCAATATGGTTTCAAAAACAACAATAAGCTCATCTTTTACTGAATTTCACTGCTGTTTGTTTACTTTAGCTTGACTGTGTTTGAGGATAAAACTCTTCAAATCACAGTCAATATGCACTGGATAAGTGGCACCTGTTATCAATTTAAGTGATAAAACAGGAATTCTTCTTTCTCTCATCCAGGAAATGTCTGATCTTGCTCTCTAATCTACTAATGTGGGTTTGAAGAAGTCTACAAACTGAATACGTTATTGTCATAATTATGCCAACAAAGTCAAGCAGCAGAAACTGTACTGGGGGCTTACCAGACACCAGCTGGGCAAGAACATATGGTCGATTCAAGACATGCATATAGAAGCAACCAGAAAATCCGGCGTGTTGCCAGGAACCACCACAAGAAGCTGAGCCAACAGCAGCAGGCAGTAGAAGAGATCCAAGACACTGCTAACGCAAAGAGATGCACACATAAATATCATGATGAGCACATACTGGAAAGTGTGAGAAAACACTCAAACAAGCCTAATATTCATTTTTGCACAACTTCAACTCTTAAAAATGTGTTTTGCATTTTGAAAACTACAAAAAATTAAAAAATTTTTCTCAGGGTCTGCTTACTGTCTGTACATTTCTCTTAGAATGCAAAAAATACAAATATTATTACTTACATACATTAAAAATACATATTATTATATTAGCAACTCCACAAAATGGCAGAACTTCTTTGGGCTGAGCCAAACAATGAAGTTGCAACCGCAAGCTAGGGTTGTTAGATTTGTGACTAAAATAATGAGATCCCGATTACCAGCTGCAGAAATTAGCTTCTTTTATATGGTGGCTAAGCTCAACTTCAGAGTTAAGATGAGAATCTGGGAGGATCTTTAAATAGAGCCGCCGCCCCTCAAATATTAAAATAATTTAGCTTAGGATGCTCACTGGTTACCTTCCACTTGAGGTTTTCCTGACATGTTCCACTGTAAGGGGACCTCAGGGCAGATCTAGAACTCACATAAGGGATTATGCATCCTTTCTCACATGGGGAAGCCTCGGGATATCTAACAAAGATCTGAAGGGTGTTGCTGTGGAGGGGGGTGTCTGAGCTTCCCTCTTGCAACTGGTACCTGCTTGACCCAACCTGGAATACATGATGGGAATCAGATGAAACATCAAAAATGTGTACTTTTTCACCTTTTTCCATTTTATACCTGTCACAAAACTGATCTATAGTGTCAATAATTGTTTACTTTTCTGATACTAAAGCGATTACTGCTCTCAGCAGGGTGCAAGTAAACAAGCTTTTCGTCAGTGTTTCTTTTTTCCTGAAGCAGAATCATTCATGTCTATAAATTACCCTTCACATATTGACCTACTTAATAACCTTGTGGTTTCTAAACATCCAAAAGTCTGTGAAGTAAGCGTATTAAAATTTTGTACCACATCCTACTTGCCTCCACCGTCTCACTTTCTTCACCTGAGTGGCGCAAAGGAGAGGCTGAGCTGTTTTTATGTAGTCAGTTGTAGAGCTTCAGATGATGAAACGCAGTACAATTCAGGACACTGCAGGTGGCGGGAATTAGACGAGTCTGGCTCTTGTTCCTTTGTTTCTAAGCATGGATTTACCAAGTCATTGACACACTAGGATCAAATTATCCTCATTGGTACAAGGAAACAACAAAACTGCATCAAAGACATGCTATTCAAAGTATCTACAGCTTTTGATTGTGTCAAATAAATGTTTGCTAATTTTCATAAAGATAACGTTCTACTATTTCCTCAAGGTCACATGAAACTTTGTATACCGTAAATCCTCTAATACAGGCCGGTATTCAATTAAAGGCCGGGTCTCCAATTTTGGCCTGTGTCGGAGTCAGTGGAGGTTAATAATGGCCGGTCTCTTATTGTGGCCGGATGTAATGTGGTAACAAGCAAGTACGAGCGTCCCAGCGGCA